AAACAGTTCATCTGTCTTGGGATATGCTATATAACTATCATCAGTTATATAACTGTTTATCAGTGCTGCACAAATCTCCTGTTACCCTCCATTTCTCCCCATTTCTAAAATCACAGTCTCCACTCTCAAAGGTTGTTTGCCCTGAATGATTACTCATCCTGGGAGTTTCATTCGGACACCACCCCGTACTTGTGCACAAGCTTCGTTCAAAAGTTCGGAGGGAGCAACCGTGTCAAAGGCGGACGTGTTTTTGGCCATGAGATTTTCGTTCTTATGAGTTTAATCATCCTTCAGCAAAGGTTTTCTCTTTCTAGAATATAGCACAAAGGCGACACGTGCAATTTTTCATTGGGGAGCAGGAAATCCTGACTTCCTGCTGGCAGGATTAGACAAATTGTGGAAGATTATTCCATCAGTGGCTACCTAATTATTACTCCAGGGCAGTCTGCTTCTGAAAAAAAAGAAGCGGGAACAATACAGCAGAGGATTGAGTTTAATGCACTGGCAACATCTGGATTTTGCAGCTGGATTTAGCTCTTTCTGGAACAAAGACCAGAGGGCTATTCATCCCAGGCCTGGTTCCACCAAGCTCTTAGTAGATAACAATATCCAAGATCTGGCTCTACTTAAAATGGGCCTTGCTCCATCAAAATCAGCATCTCCCAGGTAGGTGGACTTCAGCAACCAGAACTTCCATTCACTAGCCATTCTGGGACTTGACGTCCACCTACCTGGGAACGTCCAAGGTTGGAAAGCTGATCAAAATGAATGAGGGAGACCTTCATCCAGACTTAATTCGTACCATGGAAAGCCAGAGGAGATCATAGAGGACTAGAGATGACATGATAGCATTCTTCCAATATCTCAGGAGTTGCCCCAAAGAAGAGAGAGCCAAGCTATTCTCCAAAGCGCCTGAAGGCAGGACAAGAAGCAACGGATGGAAACCCATCAAGGAGAGAAGCAACTTTAGTTCCTCTTCTCTGACCTTCTTCCAAACTCTCAACATCTTTTTTGTGACATGGCGAGCAAAATTGGCTGCAGGACTCCAAGTGCGGCCTCATAAAGTGGTACTAATACTTTGCGTGTGCCTCTGTTTATACAACCCAGGATTGTATTCACTTGTTTGGCTGCTGCTGCACACTGCTGGCCCGCAGTCAAGTGATCATCCACAAAGTCCCTCCCACAGGTTGGGGAGACCGTTCTTAATTAGTTCGCCACAATTCTTTCCAAGCCTCTGGAATGTGGAATTGCTTTAGAAATTGCCTTTTTATTTCATTAGAAAGTGGCAGCCGTGGGGGGGGGGGGAGGCTTATTCTTTTTTCCTAACTCGCTTTGCCAACAATGACTCTAAACAGAAAAGTTGTAGATGCCCCGGAAGATCTGGTCCTCCTCCAATTATCGTGTGGTTACAATCTGATTGTTCAGCCTCTGAAATGGAGCCTCTTTGGATATAAACAATTGGCCCTCCAGCATCCCAGCATTATCCACGCACACAAAAATCCCTTCACTTTTTTTCCAGGTCCCGCCGGATAGCCCGGTCTCTGCCCTGCTTTTGGGGGTGAACTCTGAACTTAGCAGATTTCTGTTCTGTTGTCATTCGGACATACATTTCTGGCTACCAACGCTAGTATTTCCGCCCCAGTCCTGACATTTTGCAGTATTTTTGTCCTAAGGGCAGAGTTATTTGGCTCTAAGAGGAAGGCACATAGTTCACCAAATGAAGCGAAGGGTCAACGCTAAGGCTCCAGATGTTTGAAAGTTGGGAGGGACGGAGTCACAATTTACTTGGGATAATTTTAAATCTCCGTGAAGAATGGCTGCTAAGCTTCCTTCAAACATGTCCCAGAAGAGGAGATATGCCAGAGGACTAAAGGAGGACAAATAAGTAGGAAAGGCTGTGACGAAAATAGTCTTCTGGAACTGTCTTCTCCCTAACATGAGCCCACGTTTGTTCTCCGTTTATGGCCTTGAAAACTCTGATATACACAATGCATAGGAACCACCTTCTTCTTCTCCACAGCTTCACCCAACATTTCAAAAACTAAGGTTTTATCTGAAGCTTCTGGAGCTTTCTCAGCTTCATTAGCTCCCCACAAGGAAGGAGGGAAAGAAGGAAGGAAGGAAGGAAGGAAGGAAGGAAGGAAGGAAGGAAGGAAGGAAGGAAGGAAGGAAGGAAGGAAGGAAGGAGGGTCGGTGGGTGGGTGGGTGGGAGAAAGAAAGAGAGAGAAAGAGCAAGAGAGAAAGAGAGAGAGAGAGAGAGAGAGAGAGAGAAAGAAAGAAAGAAAGAAAGAAAGAAAGAAAGAAAGAAAGAAAGAAAGAAAGAAAGAGGAACGAAGGAAGGGAGGGTGAGTGGGTGGGTGGGAGAAAGAGAGAGAAAGAGAAAGAGCGAGAGAGAGAAAGAGAGAGAAAGAAAGAAAGAAAGAAACTTTCCTGGCACCCAAGGTGTAGATAGAAAGATAGATGACAAAGAGAAAAATGATAGATAGATATAGATAAATATAGATATAGATACAGATATAGAGATAAAGAGATATTTTTAAAAACCACAGTGTTTGTGGCAGGGTAACATCAAAATAAAGTCTGCTGGTTTCTATTTTAAAGGGCATAAAATCTGCTGGTATTTACCAAGCAGGTTTCATCTCATCTTTAGATGAGATTACACAGAAAAGTGGTCCCTAGAGATGGGAGGGGGAGAGAAAGAATCCCTCAGCTCAGTTGCTCACGGACCCAGTTCTTTCCTTAAATCCAGCAAACAGGTGTTCTGTCTTTTAAAATTATCCACAGAACCCACGACTTTAGAAGTTTGGAATCCTGCGAGAAATTGAAACGTCTGCGTCTTGAGCCCATCATCTGGGCTCTCTTTCCAGAGAATTGAAGTGAGAATAAAACTTTTGTTTAATGTGTGGCTGCGCATGTTAAGACCTCAACGGCAACTCCTACAGGCATCCAATTCTCGGCTGCCAAAAAGTTATTTTTTACTGGGAAACTTACTGAAGAATTAGTGTCTAAATTACTTTCGGTCCTGGCGCGGCTAGCTTTATGGAATAAAGTCCCAGACAGGCCCCAGAAAGATTAATTTTGTGGCCTTGAGCCCCTCCTCCCCACCCCAAAGTGGCAGATTCTTTTAAATTATACTTTTTTCCCCCCTAATGGTACAGTTGCAATGTATGGCTGTGAAAGTTGGACCCTAAGAAAGGCTGAGCGCCAAAGAATGGAGGCCTTTGAACTCTGGTGCTGGAGAAGACTCCTGCGAGTCCCCTGGACTGCAAGGCGATCCAACCGGTCAGTCCTAGAGGAGATCAACCCCGACTGCTCTTTAGAAGGCCAGATCCTGAAGTGGAAACTCAAGGACTTTGGCCACCTAATGAGAAGGAAGGACTCCCTGGAGAAGAGCCTGATGCTGGGGAAGACGGAGGGCAAGAGAAGAAGGGGATGACAGAGAAGGAGGTGGCTAGATGGAGTCACTGAAGCAGTAGGTATGAGCTTAAATGGACTCCAGAAGATGGTAGACGACAGGAAGGCCTGGAGGAATGTTGTCCATGGGGTCGCGATGGGTCGGACACGACTTCGCAACTAACAACAACAACAATGGTATTGGAGCAGCCGTGTCTTGTAAATGGCTTTGCAATCCAGACCCTGAAGTTACAGGGTGGCAGAATTGAGGAAGCTTGGACAGACTTGCAGGCTAATCCTGAACCACAACTGAACCACAGAGAAGATCTTATCTTATATAGGAAGTCCTCAAGTTATGATTGTTCATTTAAAGACAGTCAAAGTTGTGATGGACTCAAGAAAAGTGATTTATTGCCTGTATTCACCATTTGTCTCGTTTAGTCTAAAGAAAAGACGAAATAGGGGCGACATGATAGCAGTATTCCGGTATTTGAGGGGCCGCCACTAAGAAGAGGGGGTCAAACTATTCTCCAAAGCACCAGAGGGGAGAATGAAAAACAGTGGTTGGAAACTGATCAAAGAGAGAAGCAACCTAGAACTAAGGAGAAATTTCCAGACAGGGAGGACAATTAACCAGTGGAACAGCTTGCCACCAGAAATCGTGGGCGCTTCATCACTGGAGATTTTAAAGAACAGACTGGACATTCACCTGTCTGGGATGGTATACGTTCTCCTGCTTGAGCAGGGGGCTGGACTAGAAGACCTCCAAGGTCCCTTCCAGCTCTATTCTATTCTAAACCTATCACCATTGCACCGACCCCGTGCCATGTGATAATAGTTGGACTACTTTCCAACCGACTCACATTTATGACCGGTTGCAGGAAACAGCAACCACGTGATTGCAATTTTGCAAAGCTGTTTTTGCTGATGTTTGGCCAACAATGCCCCTTGGCAAAAGCAGGATTTCCCTTAATGGCTGCAGTGATTTGTTTACTGACTGCCCTAAACATTGTCATAAAATCAGGGTCCCACTCGACTTGGGATGGCCACAACGAGGACAGGAAGTCCACTTCTACTTATAATAATAGAACAGAGCTGGAAGGGACCTTGAAGGTCTTCTAGTCCAGCCCCCTGCTCAAGCAGGAGAACCTACGCCATCTCAGACAGGCAAATGTCCAGTCTCTTCTTAAAACCCTCCAGTGATGTCTGAAATGGTACAGCTGGCTGAGGAATTCTGGGAGTTGAAGTCCACGAGTCATAAAAGAGCCAAGTTTGACTACCCCTGGATAGACTCTCTTGCTTGGGCCGGGAGTTGGACTAGATGGCCTCCAGGGTCCCTTCCAGCTCTGTTCTTTTATCTTCTAGGGGGGCCACAAAATGTCGGGAAAATATCAGAAGGCAGGCAGACAAGGGGTGGGGGTTCCCCCAAATCCCACGAGCACCTGAGTAGAACCATCCAGCCAAGGTTTTTTTCTTTCGTTCTCTACTTGGCTGTTTCTTTCTCCTTACAAGATGGAGAGTTTATTTTATCTTATTGTGGGTTTTTTTCCTCCCCGTTTCCATTGTGGGTATAAAATCAGCTTCTTTTTAAAGCTGGGCTCTCTTACCTTGCAGGCAGTGGCTGGTGGGTGTCGGTCCCTTCTCTGACCCTTAAGAAAATGCCTCTCATGCATTTGGTTGGGAGACTTTAGCCCCCTCCGCCTCCAGGTAACTCTGCCGCATTGAGGGGTCAGCGAAGAGTTCCCGAAAGCAGGAGAGGAAGAGGAGGTGGAGGAGGAGATGAAGAACAGAGCCTGGAGCAGCCGAGTCTGAATTCCTAAAAGGAATAAAGAAAGCCCACTGAGAATTTGGGTGGAGCCCTCCTCACCCCCAAACTCCAAAGCAAATTCATTTCCCTTTAACTCCTTCACAGATGGGGTGTTTGAGTGTTGCGGTAGAGAAAGGCGGAATATAAATTCTCTGTCGGATCAAGATAGGGTATAGGGTCTCCTGCCTGAGCAGGGGGTTGGACTAGATGACCTCCAAGGTCTCTTCCAACATCATCATCATCATCATTTGTTAAGAAGTCCATCAGTTGAAAAGAAATAGGACACCATGGCCTTCACATCCACACCCAGCATGCTCGCGGTATCCCTAAATACTTTTGCTACTTCCCCATTTGCATTTCTTCTCTAGTAGCTTCGGCTCTACAACGCTTTCCTTCCATCTTAACAAAAAAAATAATTGGAGCCACCTGGTAGGCTGAAATATTAGTTTGTGTTCAAAAAACTGGTGGTGGTTTGACCTTTTTCTGACTCCATCTGCCCTCTGACCAGGATCACAAAGAGAAGCCCTGTTCTGTCTCTCTGTTTATCTATGTATCTATCATCTATCCATCCATCCTACCTAAGTATCATCTATCTATCTATTCATCTATCTATCTATTCATCTATCTATTCATCTATCTATCTATCTATCTATCTATCTATCTATCTATCTATCTATCTATCTTCTATTTATCCATCAGTCTGTCTATCTATCCAGGGCTTTTTTTGTCATAGAACGCCCAGAACGGAGTTCCGGCATCTATCTATCTGTCTATCCTACCTATCTACATATTATCTATCTATCTATCTATCTATCTATCTATCTATCTATCTATCTATCTATCTATCTATCTATTTGTCTATCTATCTATCTATCTGTCTGTCTGTCTGTCTAACCTACCTACATACATATCATATCTATCTATCTATCTATCTTTCTTCTATTTATCCATCAGTCTGTCTATCTATCTGTCTATCCTACCTACCTACATATCATCTATCTATCTATCTATCTATCTATCTATCTATCTAACTATATACATCTATCTATCATTAGCTATTTACCCACCCATCCATTCATCCATCATCTCTCAAATTTCTATACTGCTCATCACACTTACATGCCTCTGAGCAGTTTACAGTAAAATAATATAAAAGCTATAGATAAAAACAAGTTAAAAACCAGATATAAAATAGTTAAGAGGAACATTTAGAAAGTTAAACAGGCAGAGGGAGCACCGTCCGTCCCCCAAATACCCCCTAGGTTGGATATTTCCCCCCACCTCCCGAGGCCAACTGGCAGAGCCAGACCTTAACACTTTTCTGGTAAGGCGCTCTGCTTAAATTCATTTCGGTGTGTATAGAATCGCAATTTGGAATGGCTGTGCCAGCTTCCAAAACAGCAGGTTCACATCTGAGTTCTCTTTCAGAAATTAGACAAAGTCCAGTGCCAAATTTCTCATGCTAACAATTGAGAACCCAACTGTGGATTCAGATGACCGAGACCACACACCTTCCGCTCAAGATATTCATGATACATCCTATATAAAACCCTTCTGGGTGACAGTCAGAATCCTGCTCAGTGACCTCAAGTCAAAGACATCCACTGTGTTTTTTAAGTGCCCCTGTGGGGCCAACCCTGATCAGTCCCCATCAGAACCAGGAAGGCATGTAGGATATCTTCTAAGAGCATGTCCTGAGGACACGCAAAAGACTCCCAAATTGTGTCCCAGACTTCTTGCGGCACAACAGTTCCTTCATGTCAAACGGTAACATAGTTAGGAAAGTACAAGGACGAGGTTTTTGCTACTTCCAACTTGGAAAGGCATGCAAAACAGCTATCCAAAGTCTTGTAAAATATGATTGCTATTAACCCTGGGTTATGTAATGCTTCCCTTTTTTTAAAAAAAAAAAGTCTGGAATTCCACAGCCTGCTTTCCAGATAGCAGCAATAAATCCAGATGTTTGCTTTCTCCAAATGGAGAGGCAGGTCATGTTAGAACTTCTCAGCCACATAGGAGAAGTCCCAGCACAAATACCTGCTCAAACCAGAATGTGGTTAAGGTCGTCCCCATCTAGCTGAGGTCATAGAAAGAGCATCATAAAAGGTGTAGAGACAGTCCGACTTGCAGCCCCTTTGTTTAGTGACCAATCAAAATGACAATGGCACCGAAAAAACTGACATGACTGTTAATAATAATAATAATAATAATAATAATAATAATAATAATAATAATAATAATAAGAAGAAGAAGAAGAAGAAGAAGAAGAAGAAGAAGAAGAAGAAGAAGAAGAAGAAGAAGAAGAAGAAGAAGAAGATGAAGAAGAAGAAGAAATAACAAAATACAAAGACCTACAAATAGAAATAGAAAGACTGTGGCAAAAGCAAGCAAGGGTGGTACCAATAGTCATAGACGCCTTGGGTGCAATCCCAAAACAACTGGAGCACCACTTGAACACCATTGGCATTGACAAACTCACCATTAGTCAATTGCAAAAGGCGGCCTTACTAGGAACTGCTTCCATCCTGCGACAATACCTGTAATACCATCAAACATCCAAAAGTTGGAAGGTACCTTGGAGGTCATCTAGTCCAACCCCCTGCTCAGGCAGGAAACCCTATACCATTTCAGACAAATGGTTGTCTAAAAACTTCCAGTGTTGGAGCAGTCACAGCTTCTGGAGGCAGGTTGTTCCACTGGTTAATTGTTCTAACTCTCAGGAATTTAGAACGAGAGAAATAGGTTGAAAAATGTGCACGGAGAGAAAAAGGCAGTTGCAATAGTCAAAAAGAGAGGAGGAGGAGGAGGAGGAGGAGAAGAGATAAGATCAAAACCGGCACGGAAACGCAGAGTGAGCCTAATGGGAATTTTAAAAAAAATAGTTTGGGAAATGGGAAAAGAGCGTTAAATAAGGAACTCCCAGCAGAGGGACTGGAATTAAAAATAAAAGCAAGGAACTCATTTGGGAAGAGACAGATGGAAAGGAATGGAGTGAATAGTTGAGAGATTTATGCAATAGTAGGGTCAGAAATGCCCCCCATGGGTTCAAAGAGGCCATGATAGTGGCTGGAATTGGGTGTGTCTAGTTTAATGAAAAGGAGGACCAGGGGGTGACATGATAGCAGCCTTCCAGTATCTCAGGGGCTGCCCCAAAGAAGAGGGAGTCAAGCTCTTCTCCAAAGCACTTGAAGGCAGGACAAGAAGCAACGGATGGAAACTCACCAAGGAGAGAAGCAACCTGGAACTAAGGAGAAACTTCCTGACAGTGAGGACAATTAACCAGTGGAACTACCTGCCTCCAGAAGCTGTGAATGCTCCAACACTGGAAATTTTTAAGGAGAGACTGGACAGCCAATTGTCTGAAATGGTAGAAAGTTTCCTGTCTAAGCAGGGGGTTGGACTAGATGACCTCCAAGGTCCCTTCCAACTTTATTATTATTGAGGATCATCGCACAGTCAGCCAGATGTTCAGACTGGATTTGGCATTTTCTGTACCTATCGAGTCCTTACCCAGGACCTGGGATAGGCAGATGGGGATGTTTGATGGTATTACAGATATCGTCGCAGGATGGAAGCAGTTCCTAGTAAGGCAGCCTTTTGCAATTGACTAATAGCGAATTTGTCAATGCCAATTCTGTTCAAGTGGTGCTCCAGTTGTTTTGGGATTGCACCCAAGGCGCCTATGACTATTGGTACTATCCTTGCTTGCTTTTGCCACAGTCTTTCTATTTCTATTTGTAGGTCTTTGTATTTTGTTATCTTCTCCAGTTCTTTCTCGTCTATTCTGCTGTCTCCAGGCACTGCCACGTCCACTCTCCAGACTTTTTTGTCTTTCTTATCGACAATTGTTAAGTCTGGGGTGTTATGTTGCAGGTGCTTGTCTGTTTGAATTCTGAAGTCCCAGAGCAGTTTCATTTTATCATTTTCTATGACTTTCTCTATTTTATGATCCCACCAGTTTTTGCTTACAGGCAAATGATATTTTTTGCAGATCTTCCAATGCACCATTGTTGCTACTTTGTCATGCCACTATTTGTAGTCAGTCTGTGCAATCTTCTTGTAACAGCTTACCAGGTGGTCCACTGTTTCTTCAGCTTCTTTGCATAGGCGGCACTTACTGTCTGTTGCTGTCTTCTCAATTTTGACTTTATATGCATTTGTCCTTAAGGCTTGGTCTTGTGCAGCCAGAATTAGTCCCTCGGTCTCTTTCTTCAATTTTCTTGCTCTTAGCCATTGCCAGGTCTTGTTATTATCTGCTTTCCCAGCTATTTTTTTAATGTATTGGCCATGTAGTGCTTTGTCTTCCCATTCCTCTATTCTGTTCTTCATTTGGTCTTTCTTGTAGGCCAGTTTGGTCTCTCCAGTAGTTAGTAAGCCTTCCTGATATACTAATTTCAGTGCATCTTCATCATTGTTCTTCAGATATTCTTCCAAAGCCATTTTTTCTTCTTCAACCATCTGATGTACTTGTAGCATTCCACGCCCACCTATTTGCCGTGGTAGATAAAGTCTATCAATGTCACTGCGTGGATGAAGGGCATGATTCATTGTCATTATTTTTCGGGTCTGCCTATCCATTGCTTTTAGTTCTGCTTGAGTCCAGTCCACTATTCCAGCTGTGTACCTAATGACTGGGATTGCCCAGGTGTTGATTGCCTTTATGGTATTTCCTCCACTGAGTTTGGACTTTAAGATCTTCTTCACTCTCTTGATGTATTCACCTCTAATCTTTTTCTTGACTTCAGTGTGCTTGATGTTGTCAGCTTGAAGGATACCCAAGTATTTGTAGTACTCTTCCTCATCCAGACTCTTAATGTTATTTTCATGGGGCATCTTGATTCCTTCAGTTTTCACTACTTTTCCTTCTTTGATAGTTTATTATTATTGGTGTGAGAACATTGCAAAAAACAATTCTACCGATACGAATGGGGGAGCTGAAAAAACATTCAGAGCTGAGTGTAATTGCTCGTGGATTGATTGTGGGAACTGTTCTGTTTGTGTGAAAGTGC